GAGTGGCATGGTTGAGGACGGGGCTGGGGCTCCGTGCTGAAACCAGAAGGATACAGGTGAGACCCTTGCTGGAGGTGCACAGACGCTTCTCAGCCAACAGTACCTCTGGCCTTCCAGGGCTGCCAGGCCACGCCGTGCACACAGGGAGGTGGCTCCTCTGTAGGGCAGCATTGGGCAGGAGCAGTCAGGGTTGTGGGGCCTCTCGCCAGCCACAGGTGCACTGACAGTAACGCACGGGGATGGTTAACACTGCGTGTCACCTTGATCGGATGGAAGGACGCAAAGTATTGATGCTGGGTGTCTCTGTGAGGGTGTTGCCAAAGGAGACTCACCTTCAACTGAGTGGATGAGGAGAGGCCGACCCACCCTCAATCTGGGGGTCACCATCTAGTCGGCTGCCAGCAAGGCTAGAATATAAAGCAGGCAGAAGAACGTGAAAAGGCGAGATGGGCCTAGCCTCCCAGCCTACATCTTTCTCTTGTGCTAGATGACTCCTGCCCTCGAACATCAGATTCCAAGTTCTTCAGCTTTGAGACTGGGGCTGGCTCTCCTTGCTCCTCAGCTTACAGAGGGCCTATTTTAGGACCCCGTGATTGTGTGAGTTAATACTTAATAAACTCACTATAGATAGATAGATAGATAGATAGATAGATAGATAGATAGATAGATGATAGATATAAAATATATCTATATATGTATTACTTATAATATATATATGTATATATATCCTATGGGTTCTGTCCCCCTAGAGAACCCTGACTAGTAGACACACTAAGCTGGAGCTTGGAGGAAGCAAAAGAACACTTAAAAGCACAAATGCTGTAACCAGGATCTTTGGAAGATACTGTGTCTGTGAAGTGGAGGTGGGGTTCCCACAGAAAGAGCTTTCAGACTATAGGACAGAACCTGGTGGATGAAGGACAGGATGAGAAATGAAAGCTCGGTGGGAGGTTTGGAAGATAAATTTGAAGTTGTCTTCCAAGAAGTAGTACAAAATACATAAAGAGAAGGACCATCAGAGAAAAGATGTTTAAAATTGGAGATGCCGTCAAGAAGGTCCAACATACAGATAACGGGGATTCCAGGAAGAAGGGAGAGCAGGGAAGGAAATTCCTAAGAAGTAATTCTTCACTGACGGGTTTCCAGACGTGAGGCCACGGGAGCCCCTACAGGAACCGGACTTGGCAGGTTTGTGGAGTGGCCGAAGAGGGGTGGAGAGAGACCTCCTGGGGGGGAACATCGTCATGAAATTTCTCAACGCTAGTGAAAATGGAAGAGCCTCAAAACCTCCGGAAGAGCAGGTCACATCAGAGGGGCAGGAAGAGGAACGGGTTCTGGGGTCTCAACAGCAGTTCTGGGAGCAAAGCCTGCCTGTGCTAAGGGAACGTCATCTCGACCCAGAAGTCCTGGCTCCACTGAACTCTCAAGCTGGTGTGCAGCAGGCCCAGACCCTGGAGGTGCACAGCTCCAAAAATACTCCGTGGACCTTATCTTGGGAAACACCCAACAGCTGAGCTTCACCACTACCTGGAGGTCGGAGGGTGTGGACCAGGGCACGGCGGGGGTCAGTCCCAGGACCGTGCAGGGCAGGAGCTAGAGAGTGGCTGGAGGGGCAGGAGGAGCCAAGTGTCAAGGGACCAGGACGGGAAACTGAGAGACAACAGAGCCAGAGAAGCATCAACCCTGAAAGCAGCAGCAGAAGGCTGAGCTGTTGAGGCCGTTACGCGGCCAGAATATCACCAGCGAGAGGGTGCTGATTTAGCTAAAACTCTAATACTGTTAATTGGGGAGTCCACCTTCCGTGGGGAGAAGTCAGTACCAAATACCCAGAAGTCAATAGTCAAGAGATCACAATCCAAGGATGTTACCCGGAAACGTGGAGGCAAATGCACAACCATTTCCATGTCGACCTGCAAGTGCTAAGGATGGGGTGGGCAGGGCTGGGGGGTGACGCCTGCATTTTCCTATAAACCTCACTTGAGGTTTGAACTATGCATGCATATGACTTTGACGAAATCAACATATCTTTTTTCTTTTTTTTTGAGATCCGGAGTCCCTTGCCTGCTCGCCCGGCTGGGAGTGCAGCTGGCCGATCTCAAGCCACTGAAGCTCCGCCCTCCCGGACGATTTACGCCATTCGTCGTGCCTCAGCCTCCCGAGTCACCTGCGGACTACAAGCGCCGCCCCCCTCACTTGCACCACCAACACATCCAACAAAAAAACACACACAAAACAAACAAAAACCACACCACCACACAAACACAAAAAAAACAACACACAACACAAAAACACTCAACAAAAAACAAACATCCCAACCCACCCACCCAACCAACACCACAAACACAACCCACACAAAACACAACAAAAAACAACAAACCACCGACCAGACTAATACACAACAAAACAAACGCCAGCGACAACACAGAATCCTGACCGTCGTGATCCACTCCGTCTCGGGCTCCCAAGGTGCGGCATTACAGGCTTGAGCACCCCGCGCCACCCGAAAACAAAAAATCTTAAAATGTATTCCACTTAAGAACGACAAGAGGCCTGTGCCTCTCTCTCCCCACAAGACGAGACCTCTGAGGTGAACTCCTTGACCTGGAGAAGCTCTGAGGTCCGAAGGTGCTGAGCAGGCCAGGTCCTTCGTCTGCAGGAGCCGTACGGCTAGCCCTCAGGAGTCCCGCCCACCGCATTTCTGCCCTGCGAGCCCAGGGAGAGCGCTAAGGCGTGGCAGGCGAATGTTCTGTGGACTGGCGCGCTGCCGGTTGTATCAAGTGCCAACCAAGACCAACCTTCCCCAAGGAGCCCTCCCTGCCTCCTTGGTGCCCAGCTCATGCCAGAGTGGCTGCGAAGTGGGCCCTGCCTCGGGCCGCGCCCGAACGGAGCACGCCCACGGTCGAGATCCTCTGCCCACTACGGCGGCTCCGGGAGCGCTCCTGCCTCCTGCCGGCTCGCAGCCAGCTGCGAGAGTGAGTGCTACGTCCAAGACGCAGGCACTGCCCTCGCAGTCATGCCCTCCGCCAGACCCTCTGACAGGCCTGATGGCCCCTGCCCTTGTGGCCATCCTCGGCACCAAGGGAAGCACGCGCCCTTTGGGTCCTCCCAGGACCCCCTGCAAGGGCCAGGAAGATGCACTTGCAGCCCATCCCCACACGGCGCGCCCCTGTGAATCTCAGGAGGGTGCAGGCCTCGGTGCCTGGCTGGCAGTCTGGTTTTACTTCTGGATTTTGCAGTGGTTTCTAGCTTCCGCATGCGTTACAGCCCAAATCCTTCTGTCGAATCTGCTAGTATTAGTATCCAGACAAGCTTGGACGCCAGTACTCCCACAGGCAAAATGAAGCCTAAACAGCATGAAATTCAGGAAAGTGCCCCCGTGCTGTCTGGACCTGAGGGAGGCCTTTGTAGCAACAACTCGGGCTGCCCACAGCTGTGCCCCCTGACTAACTTCTCCCTTCCTCCTTCCTCCTTTTTTCTTCCTCCCTTTCTCCTTCCTCCTTCCTCCTTTCTCCTTCCTCCTTCCTCCTTTCTCCTTCTTCCTTTTCTCCCTTCCCTCTTCCTCCTTCCGCCTGTCTCCTTCCTCCTTTCTCCTTCCTCCTTCCTCCTTTCTTCTTCCTCCCTTTCTCCTTCCTCCTTTCTCCCTTCCTCCTTCCTCCTTTCTCCTTCCTCCTTCCTCCTTTTCTCCCTTCCCTCTTCCTCCTTTCTCCTTCCTCCCTTCCTCCTTTCTTTCTCCCTGTCTCCTTTCTCCTTCTTCCTTCCTTTCTCCCTTTCTCCTTCCTCCTTCCTCCCTTTCTCCTTCCTCCTTCCTTCCTCCTTTCTCCCTTCCTCCTTCCTCCCTTTCTCCTTCCTCCTTCCTTCCTCCTTTCTCCCTTCCTCCTTCCTCCCTTTCTCCTTCCTCCTTCCTTCCTCCTTTCTCCCTTCCTCCTTCCTCCTTTCCTCCTTCCTCCTTCCTTCCTCCTTTCTCCTTTCTCAGAAGTATATTGGGCTTTGTGTAGGTGCTACCCAGAGGTGCCACGTGGTTTAAAGAGGTGGCAGCCCCTGGGGTGTCCAGTGCACGAGGGTAGCAGAGGCCTCATTTCCGGGAAGGAGGAAGGTGGGAGGCGGGTGCCCTCATCCCCCCTTGGACCCAGGGCAGGTGGCAGATTCCTGGGCGAGGCCCCTGCTGGAAGTTTGTGCCCTGGTGGCTGTGTTCCAGGAAGCTGGTCTCCCTGGTTAGCCCTTGTCCCTGGCCTTGCTGTGAACCGCACAGACCCCCACTGTAGCCTGCAGATGGGGTCCCCACCACAGGGTGCTCCCAGGTGTTGGAGGCAAGTGCTGGCAAGGGCACCCACGTGTCTTGAGAGTATGTGTCACAGGGACCCTCGGTGAGGTTGGGCCAGAGCCAGGCAGGGGCCTTAGGACAGATGGTCGCCCGGCTCCCCATGGCTGCGTTCTGGGCAGGATGCTGAACGGTCGGCATCCCGCTGAGGACTGGCCAGCCCGTTAGCACCACTGGCTGCCACGCCCTCGGGGGAAGGGGCTCGGCCAGACCGTGGTGCCTTCCCCGGGGCCCCCTCAGGCTCTGGGGTGGAGTATGGAGGGGAGGCTGACGGAGACTGTGGACGTGCGTGGGCCTCAGGCCCCTGCCGCTCATGGAGCTCCAGTCACGGGACCCACAGTGAGCATCCGGCTCTGTCCACGAGGTTCTCCCTGCCAGTGAGAGAAGGGCAGGGCACACACGCAGGTGCCAGCGCCAGGAAGGAACCTCCCTGAGGAAAGACAGGGAGCCCCCAGAGGGAGGCCCAGATGAAAGGGCCCGCTGCACACATGCAAGGGAGAGCCCGGGGCCAGCGGGACCCCCAGGCTGAGTGGGGTGGACCCCAGCAGAGGCCCAAGCGGTGGGGAGGGGATGAGGTCTGGGGCAGAGGTGGAGGGTGGTGAAGAGGCAGGCTCAGCCCCCCTGCCCGTCTCCTGTCTGCCCCAGAAGGAGGCCGTGGTAAGGCTGCCCTGAGCCCGCAGTGCTGAGCTGGCCTTTCCTTTCAGCGCTGTGTCCCAATGCGACCATGTGGCAGCGCCTGGCGGCCCTGCGGCACCTGTGCCACAAGCGGTTTGTGGAGGTTCGTGAGCAGGAAGGGGTCCTGGGGGCGGCCAGCCATGGCCTGAGCCACAGACCTTGGCCTGGGATACTCACTGCGCACTGTGGGTTTGCACCGATGTCCCAAGCAGGAGCTGCTTCTCACCCCAGAGCTGGGCGAGCTGGGCCAGGCCTGGGTGAAGGGGAGGCCGTGGGGCCCTGGCTCTGGGCTGTGGCACCACGGTGGGTGAGCACCTGGGCTCTTACAAGGATGTACCCTGCCAGGGGTCGAGGAAAACTCCCACCAGGCCCCTGTTCAGCCTCTGGAGCTGCCTGGCAACTGTCCCTCCCGTTTGCTTTTGCAGAAGAGCCTGTCTCAGGAAAACTGGGCTGACCACGTGCAGGTGAGTTCGTGCTCTTGCCTGGGCAGCTGTCCTGGGGGCACAGGCCCAGAGCCTCCTGAAAACAGCAGGCAGAGCTGAGGCCTTCACGGGGGCTGCTGACCCCGACCCCGTGTTGGGGCACGTGCCTGGCAGGCGGGTGCGGGGTCCCCAGGCCCGGGAGGCCTGAGCGGGAGCTGAGGGCATCGGTGGAGCCTGACTGGGCCTCGTTCCAGGTGGACGGCAGCATCCGTGCCACCCGAACCGGCCCAGCGGAGCTACCTGTGGGGCTGGGTGGGGGCTGAGAGTCACCAGAGAGGTGCGGGGCGCCTGGGCGAGGCCGGAAGGAGGAAGGCCGGGCCCCCCCGCCGGTGCCAGCATGGAGCCGGCCGGAAGGGCAGCAGACGTCCTGAAGAATGCAGGCGGCTTCCACGTATTGTCGTCCACGTGGGAACCCACGCCGGGGAAGCAGCCTCGGGCTGCTGGGCCTGAAGCCAGCGGGGCAGGCGGACCCTCCTCGAGGCCGTGGGGCGGGAGGTCGTGCAGGAGCTCAGCCTCCCGGGCGGGTCCCCTCCCTTCCCGCCTGACACCCAAGGCCATCCTGGACCCATGGACTCCGGGACCGTGCAGGGAGGGAGACCCTCGCTCGTGCTGGGCCCTGCATTTCCTGGCGGGGGCCGAGGGTCCTGCAGGCCTGTGGGTGCCTCTGCTCCTGGGCTGGGCGCTGCCACAGGCGGCTGGCTGCAGGGTGGGAGAGAGCTCACCCTGGTGAGGATGAGGATTCTCGGGACCCCCTTGGTCACTGCCACCCGGAGGGCACCCCTCTTGGGCCGTGGGTGAATGGGTGCCCAGTAGCCTCCTAAGCCCTGCCAGTCAAACCCCACACAGTGAGGAGGAGGGGAGGAGGAGTGTGGAGATGGGGCAGGCTGGGCAGGTGCTCCAGAAAACACGCCCGGGTTCCTGGGATCCGGGGTGGGGGCAGATGCCTGGTGAGAGCAGGAGGGCCGGCGGAGGCTTGGAGGCCAGGAGGGGCCAGCCAGGGCTGAGCTGAGGTGGGCAGCCTTCACCTCAGGCTTGGAGACCCGGAGGGCCAGCCAGGGCTATACTGGCTGGTGGACAGCCTTTGCCTCAGCACCTCTATCTCAGCCGCTTTGGTCCTGTGGAACCTTGACCTCAGGCAGGACAGGCACTGCAGGCCTGGGTAGACGGCTGCCCCTCCTCCCCGAGTGCTAAGAGCCAATCTGCAAGGTCGGGGTCTGTGGGGGTCCCTCGGGGCAGAGCCCTGTGGCACAGCAACGTCCCCATCTCCATCCTCACGGCCACCCTCCCCACAGGGCCTGGTGGGGCAGAGCCCGTGGCTTCAGGAGCAGCTGTCTCAGCTGCTGGTCTCCCACGGTGACCCAGTCACGGCCGCCCGGTGTGCCATGGGCCTCTCACTGCCCGAGGAGCGGCTGCCGGCTGCGGTGGCTGTGGAACTCCGCCAGCTCAGTCTCCAGGGGAGGTGAGCTCCGCCAGGTGACCCCAGCTAGGGGTGGGTTCCGCCCAGGATGGCCCTTACCCTTGGGACGACAGCTCACCAATCTGCACGCCAGTGGCTTGAGAATTAGAAATCAAGACAAAACAAAGAGCACAGCTATACACAGAGCAGACAAGACAGCAGGGCCCAGCCCTCCTACTCTGCTGCCAGCCCACAGACTCTGCAGCCAGATCCATGGCCAGCCCAACCCACGCGGGACCCTGAGGAGCAGGCTGCCCTATGGTCTGGGAGGGCAGCCACTGGGAGGAGAGGCAGGAGCAGGGGTCACGCTGGGCTGGACTGAGCCGGCGTGGGAGGAGGAGCCACGACCCGAGATGCCCCCACCAAACGCCCCGAACGCTCCCCTCCTGCTCCGAGGTCAGAGTGAGTGGGGGACCAGGGACATGGGGGCGCTACCAGCTCTGCTCCTCCCAGGGCGGCTGAGGCTGACTCGAGGCTGGAGGTGAAGGACGTGAAGGACCGTTACTACCAGCTGCCCATCCCCAGGGAGAACATCCACCTCCTGGCCTCGTGGGAAGACCTCACCAGATATGAGGGTGCACTCCTGCAGGTGAGCCCCTTGGCCGCTGGGGCAGCGCCCGGTGGTAGGATCCCCCTGCCAGGCATTGGAGGAGCATCAGGAGCATGGCATTCGGAGAGGCAAGGCCTCTGGGCGTGGGCCCGCCAGGTGCCCCAGGGCTGCTGTGAGGGCAGCCATTCCCCGCGCTGTGTTGCTGAGACTCCGGGATGCTGGGCGCTGGGTGCTGGGTGCTGGCATTTAGCCAGTCCTGCCAGCCTGTGGAAGGTGCCGTGGGATCCCCGTTTTACAGATGGGGCACGAGACGGGGGTGCATCCTGACACGGGCACTGCCTTTGGCACTAGGCCAGGCCTCCCTCTCTGGTCCAGCCACAGAAAGCAAGGGGCAGCTGGGGCACTGGCCTTAGTGCCCCCCAACAGCCCAAGCCCTACAAGCATGCAGGGGTGCAGGGGCGTCTCCCTGAAGCCCAGGCTCACATTGCTGCTCAGACCCTCCAGGCTGCCGTCGCTGCAGAGCCGAGTTGGCCCTGACGGTCACATCTGCCCCTTTCTGCCCACAGCCCCACCAAGTAGTTGGTGTAGACCTGGAGTGGACACCTGTGTTCGTTGCTGGGGGCCGGCCTCGGCCGTCACTCCTGCAGGTGGCCGTGGAGGGCCGCGTGTTCCTTCTGGACGTCCTGGCACTCTCGCAGCCACCAACAGGGCAGGGAGCCCAGGCCTTCTCCCGGCTGGTGGCCCAGCTCCTCTCGGACCCCTCTATCACCAAGCTGGGTGAGTGAAGCCCTGCGGCCCCCTGCCCAGTCCAGAAGGGAAGCAGCCCCCACCTCTGCCTGACCCTTCCCTCTGTGCGCCCCGGGGAGGGTGCTGGGTGCACCCTGGGGTCCGGGGACAGTGCTGTCCCTGCCTGCAGGCGCCCCTCCCATGATGGTTCCCGCCCACAGGCTACGGGATGGTGGGGGACCTGCAGAAACTGGGCGCATCCTGCCCCGCCCTGGCCCATGTGGAGAAGCAGATTCTGGGTGGCGTGGACCTGCTGCTGGTGCACAGACAGGTGGGCACCCACTGAGCCGCTCACACGACGTCGGGTGGGCCTGGGTTTTGAGGGCTGCTTGGGGCCCCTCCACACCTTCCCAGTGGCCCTGGGCTTCTCCTGCCGAATTCCTGTCAGCTCAGCCTTAGTCACCACAGCCCCCGAGCAGAGCCTGGCAGAGGTGGATCTGGCGTCCCCAGGGAGGGAGCAGAGCCTCCTGGCGCGGGCATCCCTGAGCCCCTGTGGGGCCCTTATCTGGTGTGAGGGCACCTTCCCTCGGACCTGAGCCCCAGGTTCCACTTGGAGGAGCTCTGGGAGGGAGCCCCTGGAGGTGAAGGTGTGAACCCGGAGCTGGCCCCGGTGTGCAGTACTTGCAGCCTGCGTCCCCCACGTGGAGCCTGCCCTCGGATGTGTCGCTCCTTCTCCCTGTCTCTCCTGCACGGCCGCAGGTGGAGGGGGGCAGGGCCTCCTCCGGAGTCCCACAGAGCCGGTGTGAGTGGGCGCGGTGAGCTGTGCTCCCTCCAGGGCCAGACGCATCACCCTGCAGGGCACTGTCTTAGCAGATGCGGGTGGCAAACATGCCAACCTCAGGCACGGACAGGGCCAAGGGGCTGAGAGGCCTGAGCCTCCTGGTGCAGCAGGTGCTGGGCACAGCCCTGGACAAGACGCAGCAGCTGTCCAACTGGGACCGGAGGCCGCTCTGTGAGGAGCAGCTCATCTATGCAGGTGTGTGGGGTGGTAGGTGGGAGTGACCCCTCCTCATGCCCCACGGCCCTCCCACCCTCTGCCCCAGGAGGCTGAGGCCGACTCCCCACATAGCTGCCGATGCCTACTGCCTGCTGGAGGTGCACCAAGCCCTGTGCAGAGAGCCTGCCCGCTTCCACCTGTCGGAGGACCTGGCCGGGAGCTGGAGGCCCAGGCACACAGAGAGACCAGGGGCTCAGAAGCCACCCGGCTTGCAGAAAGCATCAGCCTCAGCCGCACCCAGGCAGGTGGGTGAAACCCCGCAGGGTCCATTTGTCAGGATTCTTGGGGAAGGAGGTCCCCGTCCATAAACCAAGGACCTGCACAGAGACAAGGCCACTGGGTCAGAGTGTGTGGAGGGGGCCCCGCTCCTCCACACTGGACCCCCGGCCCCTGGAGTGAGAGGGGAGCAAAGTCCCGGTGAACTACCTGCATGACTGTCATGGGGGCTGCCCTTGCCTGGGGGGCCACTGCTCAGGAGGCAGCCGTGCCCCTGAGTGCCCCAGTCCCCTCCTGACACTGGGCCTGGCAACCTCCTCCCATGGCCCAAGGCAGCATCTAGCCCCCTCCCCATGATCTCCACCCCTCTGTCTATCCCCCTCCCTGTGATCCCCACCCCTCTGTCCAGCCCCCTCCCCGTGATCCTCACCCATCTCGAGCCCCTCCCTGAGATCCCCACCTCTCTGTCTAGCCCCGTCCCCATGATCCCCACCCCCCCTCTATCCCCCTCCCCGTGATCCCC